TGCTGCCCCGCAGGACAGTAATTGAAGTCCTTATCCCGATGGCATCCCACCCAGCCCCTCCCCGGCTGTGCTCATGGCCCAGCAGATCGCCTTCCAACTGCCCCCAACTCACATGCAGGCCTGCAGCGCCAAGAATGTGAGTGAGGGGCTCCCAACCCCAGTGCCACATCTATTTCAATGAAACTTTTTTTTAAAGGGATAAAAAAATTACACTGGTTTATTTCAATGTGATAGGCATTTTCTTACATTACACACGTGATCCGCTTTGATTTTTGCCTGTTGGGAGAAAGAATGAGGAAAAGATAAGAATTGTTAGGGCCAGGGAGGTAGCTGAAAGGCAGTGGGAAGGAAGAAAAAGAACTGTATTTCCTCAAGAAGCAATATCCATCCATTACTTTTTAAAAAAATATGTATGTTTTCGTACAGGGTCTACAGGGTGTGACTACACAGAGCGGACTCCTAGTGATCCTTCCAGTTTTTCAGCTTCCCAAGCACTGGGATTACAGGTGTGCACCACCGTGCCCAGACTCAATCACTGTCTCAGTGTCCCCCAGGGATGGGGCTGGTGCCGCACACTGGGGATCGAATCCCGGCCCCTGCGTCTGCCTAAGCAGGTGCTTTAATCCACTGAGCTATCTGTCCAGCCCTTCCATCCCTTACTTTAAAAATCATGTTAGAAGTAAAGATCACATGGCAAGCTGTATTCTTGTTTGTAATTCAACTGAAGAGATATTGTAAGTTGTGACTTAATTCCTTTATAAAAGAACATGACCTCTGTTCCTATCTTCATTATCTGCCTGCTTCCTCCCCCTCTCTCTTTATTTTCTTCAGACATTTTTCTCCCCGGTCTTCTGAATAGAAAAAGAAAAAAACTTGGCAAAGCCAGTGCCAGGGCAAGCATGCTTAGTGACACCTATAATTCCAACACTCTGGGAGGCTGAGGCAGGAAGATCATGAGTTTGGGCTCAGGTTGGACCTAAGGTGACTTAAACCTTGTCTCAGCATTAAAAATACATTTTTTTAAAAGGGCTGAGGATGTAGTTCAGTATTAAAGCCCTGGGTTCTATTCCTGTCCTAGGGAAAAAATAAAGCCAATACCAATTCATGATAGAAATTCACAGCAAGCTGGGCATGGTGGTGCCCGCCTGTAATGGCACCTCTCAGGAGGCTTCGGCAGGAGGATCCCCTCAAAGTTGAGTCCAGCTTTGTTCATAGCAAGTTCAAAGACCAGGCTAAACTACATAGTAAAACTCTGCTCAAAACAACAAAAAAACTACTAACTACTGCTAGATAAAAAGTGTTAGGGGGAGAGAGAGAGAGCTCAGTGGCATAGGCGCCTTCCTGGCAAACACAAGGTCTCAAGTTCAATCCCTGGTACCGCAAAAAAAAGAAAAGAAAAAAAAAAGAAGGAAACAAAAGTGTCTCCTGTGCTCTCAGCAAATACAATTCACAAGAATGAAGTATGAAGAATAGTAACTTTAAAACAAAACTACCCACTATCTTGCTTATCAACAATGTACAAGTGGTCCTAGCTAGTGCAAGAAGAAAAAAAATTAAAAACCTGGAAAAGGTAAGCTATTATTATTCATGAAATTCTGCCTATAAAGAACTATAATTGCCTTCTCTTTTTCCTTCCTTTCCCCACTCTTTTTTTTCTAACCTTTCTTTTTGAGATAAGAGGCAGGGTCTTGCTATGTAGTTCAGACTGGCCTTAAACTCATTATATAGCCTGGGATGGCCTCAAACTGTGGCAGTCCTCTGGCCTTAGCCTCCTGAGTGCTGGTTTTGTAGGCATGTGCCAGCATACCTAACTGGCTGGCTGGCTTGCCCGCTCACTCGCTCTTTCTCTCTTTCTCTCTCTCTCTTTCTCTTTCTTTCTTTCCCTCCCTCCCTCCCTCCCTCCCTCCCTCCCTTTCCCCCTTCCTCCCTCCCTCCCTCCATAGTGATAGGCCCTTCTGCCTTGTCTTAAAATGACATGGTAGAGAGACTGGGCATGGTGGCACACACCTATAATCCCATTGCTGGGGAGGCTGAAACAAGAGAGTCACTGTGAGTCTGAGCTGTGTAGTGAGACCCTGTACCAAATACATTTAAAAAAAAAAAAAAAATCCCATGGTAGGTAGAGGTGCTGTGTGCCCTTGAAGCAGTACATCTCCTCCCTGGGTTTAGCATCTAGATGCCTAGCTTGGTCAGCAGCTTGCGTTGTTGAACAGGCAGCCTCTCTGCAGGGCCCGTCCTCTTGTCTTTCTGTGCAGCCTGAAAGCACCCGTGGAATTGCATGCTTGTCCTCCTTAGAGCTGCTTAGCTGGAATCCGGAAACATTTTCCCTGAGGGGTCTCTTTAGACAGCAGCTAAATGTAGCTGGAGATATGCTGAGTACATGGAAAAAAAAATCAAATTAGGCCAAGAATTTTTTTTAAATCTCCTATTCTCACAGAAACCCTCAAGGAGAATATCGTAATTCAGACTTCACTTGTGTGGGTCAGGCAGAAAGCCTCCCACCACAGATCCACAGCCTGTGAATGTTATGTTTTCAGCTTGCACCTGCTTGCGTTGCTGGATCGTAGCCCTGAATCTTATGGTAGTTGTTTCTGGCTCAGTCTTTTGTTCCTGGGAAGGTCAGCTTGCCAGAGAGCAGCCTGGTGTTTATTTGCAAATGGGCAGTGCCCTAGGCATGCAGCTTTAATTATGACCTCAGGTAGCAGCCCTGTGCCCATCGCACAGGGAGGCCGATGTTGGCATAGGACAAATATCTTGTTGCTGTGGAGATAATGCCCACCCAACTGGGCCACAGGAAATATGCAGTAAAGTCAGCAAAACCTTAGAAGAGATGCCCCAGCAAGTGGAACAGAGCTGGATCAGGCTGCAGCTCCCAAGGGTGTGGCGCTCCCTGCTCCTTTTTGAAGCAGGAGGACCCAGCTGGTGTTTGCCCTTCACCTTCTGTACTCTGATACAAAATTTTGGACAAAGCAGATTTCACCATAAGAACAAGATCCAGAGTCTGTGGACTTGAGATACTAGGAAGAGTTATCGGAGACCTCATCTTGTCCCCCGCTGCCTCCGCCCCCCAGGAATCCCTGTCTGCCCACTTGCTGCAATGCAGCTTATGCCACCAGTAGAGAGAGAGAGCACAAGCCTGGCATTTCCAGACCAAAGCAGGAGCCATTTGGAGAAATTCAGTGGATGCTTAACAGGCTATGTGTGCGCATGCGTGGATTCTGTATGCCGGTGGTGCAGCCCTGACGTCAAAAACATTTTTTTTTTTTTTTTTTTTAATCCTCCTCTGGGCACAGGCGCTCAGGAGCGAGGCACTGGACGGGGGCATCCTGAAGGGCAGGCGGATCTCTCCTTTCGGCACTTACATCTTTCAAGTTGGGAGATTAATCTGCTTCATTTTGGAACTGAGCTTTCCTAGTACATGAGCTTTTCCTGCTATCTGTGCAGCTTAGCATGCTAAGCAGTCGGAAGGTCCCTGGCAGCCCAGATTCATTTTCCATCTTCGAAAAGTTTTGGACTACTTTGAGAAATCATGAAGTTACTCGTGGCCATACCGTGTTGTTGTCCTGAACTTGCTTTGTTTCAAGTTTTACATTTTTCTATGTAAATGCCAACCTTGGAGACGTTCTGTTTCCAAAAAAAGGGCTTCTGATTTCAGAGGCTGGCGGGGCAGGAGATGACACGAGAGCTTCTCGGCAGAATTCCAGATGTGCAAAAATTTTCCAGGTACCTGCTATGTTCAGAATCCTCTGCAGGGATGCCCTGAAGGATTGAGAGTCCAGGCTTATGCCTTAAAACTTTGAGAGCAATGGCTGAAAAGGAAAGGTGAACACCCAGGGCTCCATCTAGCAATGATTGAGGTTTGCCACCTTTGGCTACTTTGGCGTTTTCCGTTAAAATTTGATGTCTTCATGTGCTGTCCAACGTCTGCTACTACAGGTCACATGGCGCTGAGGAAGCCAAGGGTAACTGCTCTTTCTGTCTTTGTAAAATGTTTTGTCTGTTGTCTCTCTTCCCCACAGTTCGTTGTTTTGGTTTATGTAATTCCTGTCATTGGAATTCAAAGTCATTGGAGTAGGTAGGCTCCCTCCTGTCAGCCAGTGTTAGAGAAACTTCTTGTTTTGGAAATACTTCCTGTGGAGATGATTTTCAAAATTCATGACTCTAATACTATAGAAAATAATGCCTGTGATATATTTTCTTTTCCAATCAGCTTTTATTTATGAGTATTAACATTTGCATTTCAAATACACTGTCAATAGAGATTCTTTCATAAGGTATCAGCAATAAAACTTTTTTAAAACATAGGTTTTTATTTTTTATTTATTTTTTAAAAAAAAATTATTTTATTTATGTGTGTGTGTGTGTGTGTGTGTGTGTGTGTGTGGCCAGCTCAGCCCACCAGGGGGCGGCCCTGGCTGGCATGTGGCACTGGGGGATTGAACCACGGGCCCTATGCTTTGCTAAGCTTGTTTTAAGTAGGTGCTTTAGACCACTGAGCCATCTCACCAGCCCCCATAGGTTTTTAATTTAGTAAATTTTAAAAACATCTTTATGCTTTCAAAAAACCACTGCATAAAAGAATACCTTCAGGCAAGGTGAGAGGAAGGGTTAAGAAGATGAAGCCAGAACCAACGAAAGACCACTGCCTGACAAGGTCGTATTGGATGGCACTTTGAAGGTGGTTCTCTGTAGGAATGGGAGGAATGATTTCAGAGGAAAAGCTGCAGAGGAAAAGATCCTAGGGCTGAGGGACAAGAAGCAGATCCCACAAGGTCTGTTGTCCTCTCAGAAGCTGTCTTTGGTGACTTCCCATGTCATTCGTCCTTCTCTGTCCCTGCCCCTGCCATCTCTAAGGAGTGGGGTACAACCAGGCACCATTCACCGTCCACAGATAGATGCGTAGCTGGCGGCTCGTGGTGCTGATCGTGTGTAGTGCTAGGTTGTTTTCAGAATTGACCTTGATATTTTTCTTTCTTTCTTTCTTTTTTTTAATCCCACAGGAACCTAGTAATAAACGGGTCAAACCTCTTTCCAGAGTCACATCACTAGCAAACCTCATCCCGCCTGTGAAGGCAACGCCTCTAAAGCGCTTCAGCCAAACCCTGCAGGTAAGAAGGGTGTAGTGGGCTGATGGTTACCGAAAACTGCATTCCGTGGGGGGTTCGGCCATCCTTGCCTACCCAGAGCTTCCTCTGGTTTCATATGGACTGAAATCGATACTTATTTTAGTAGACAAGGCAAGAAAGGCTGAAAAGAAGCAAAGTGGTTTCAAGTTTTCCCCTCGGGTCAGGCAGAGTTGGAGCAATTTAAGCTGGTTTTCTCCTCACAGCTGTATTGCTGACTTGTGTGCCTCATCCAGATTTGTCCTGACAGGCTTTGTCCTGAAATATCTGTGGGCTGCTAAGGACCCCGGCCGGCGATGGGAGCTAGCCCATGGCAGGGATGGGTGGTTTCAGCCTGGAACAGCAAAATGCAGAGTGTGGAAGAGTCTGACCTGCTACCCTTTTGGGGGATTTTGGGGAGAGGGAATGGGATGGGGTTGGGGAAGTTGTTTGTTTTGGGGTGCTAGGATTGAACGCAAGGCCTCAAAAAAAGTGCTATGCTTCTACCACTGAGCCACACTTCTAGTCCCTGCCATCTGTTTTTGTTTTGTTTTGTTTTGTTTTGTTTTGTTTTTTATGGCCCAGGAGTTAAGAAAGGACCTTACTGTTTTCAGTGTTGGGGTGGCGGGCTGAAAAGAAATTTTTTGGTTTGTGAAAACCATATGCAGGGACATAGCTCAGCAAACTAAGCACCTGCTTAGGCAAGCACAGGGACAGGGGTTCGATCCCCCCTACCACATGCCATGCCGGCCCCACCTTGGGGCATGCTCAGCCAGCCACTGAGACTGGCCTGGTGGCATACCTGTAATCCCAGTGCTGGGGAGGCTGAAAACAGGAGGATCACTACGAGTCTAAGCTGCATAGTGAAGAAAAGAAAAGAAAACCATGTGAAATTCAAATTTCATTGTCCATAAGTAAAGTTTTGTTGGAATATAGCCTACTCCCATTTATATATTGTCCATAGGTGCTTTTGTACCAGTGGCAGAGTTGGCTGGTTGTGACACAGGCTATAAAGTCAAAACCAGTCACTTACCTGGCCCTTTCCAGGAGGAGCTCTGGCTCTGGCTCTGACCAGTGATCACTGAGGTCTGACCTGAGCTCTTTCACTGAAAGCCTCTCACTTTGACTGGTGATTTAACATGGCCAGGTCTTTCTTTTACTCTTTTAGAGTAAATTAGTCACAGTAGCACCAGCTCCTGTGTAGAATCATTGGGAAGATACATGAGCTCATGCATTTAAGTGGTGGCGCTTGGAATCCGTAGGTTAATAAACACTGGTTATTGTTAGTAATTTTTTAGTTAAGTGTTTTTGAAGGTTTTTCTTTATTATTTTATGAAAAATTTGATAACAAAATAAGAGACAACAATAGTCAGTACACTGCACCATTATCTTCAAAGTAGTTACTAAGTACAAGACATAAAGAGATGCTTACCAAAAAAAGCGGAATCTTAGTTCTCTTTCCCATCTTGCAAGATGGCGGGTGAAAAAACTGAGAAGCCAGACACTAAAGAGAAGAAACCTGAAGCCCAGAAGGCTTCTGCCAGTGGCACTGGTAAAAAGAGTAAGGTGAAGAAGGCAAAAAAGTCCAAGAAGGGGCAGCCCCACTGCAGCCGAAATCCTGTCCT